TAGCCCTGAAATGCAAATGATTAATTACCTTTATAATAACAGACTTAATCTGTAATAAGAAATAGTGAACATATGCAAAATTGTAAAGAAATATGCCTATGTAAAACCTGAGAATACACAAACAGAGATAAGCAAGCATATTTCCATTCTTGTGAGATACCAGGTTATATTACAGCGGCGATTATGAAGATGTCCCCTTCTACCAAACTTGTTTAAAGAGGCCTTAGTCTCTACTGTGTACTCACTACCTCTCTTCAGCAGGCTTTGTGATGTGTTTCAGATTTTAAAAAGTACGAAGTGAGTAGTGTCTCGAGAAAAGTCCGAAGAACGCCACAGTATATTTTTCAAAAGTCCGAGGTTTCATTTGTATATCAGAACACACAGGTTCTCATTTTGGCTTTCCTTTTTAATTCTTCCCCTGTATTTCATTCCACACTACTTGTTCTGTTGTAGGCCTACGTTATTGATACAGAAGTACAGTCATCTTACAAATAAACTACTGGCATAGGTCATTATAAAATAAGTAACTCTCACGTTAGTAGCCTTGAAACAGAAACACCTCATAAAAATAAAATCAATTTTAATAAAGCAAGAGAGCTTTAGTGAAATCTATACGCTAAGCCAATTCAAAAGCTGCTCTGTCAAGCTTATTTTCGGTCGGCTGGTGAAGCCGCTGTATGAAACCTTTGTCTCTAGTCTGTCCGACCGCCTACGTAGACAAACTTCTAAGGCAACCGCCATTACCATGACAACGCTCGTAGCACTGCTCTGTGGAACAATAGTCCACAGTATTCGTGATTCTGGACCACTGATTTCTGCTTCCCGCCGGCATTCTAGTACTGCAAGATGACAGTTTTAATAGAACCCCGTCAGGCCACAGGCTTTAAATTGAAATGCTCTTATTCGGAACCGGATATAAGGTAGCCTATGTGAAGTGACCTGTTCTGCAGTGCCACGGAAAAGTGGTTTTAATATTGGTATATTTTACGACGATCTCGATTTCTCACATTATACAGCGCCAACTAATAATTTATTACTAAATCATGACTTGAAAATGACGTGGCCAAAGCCAGATTTAAATATTTAAGATGGAATATGTCTCTAGGCAATGAAGAAATCCGTTAGAAACCTCAGCCAAGATAACCGTTTCAACACACAGATTTTAACCCGGGACCATCCACTACACAGAGACGTACGGTTATAAAACAGCGGTCCCCGTGTCTGCTGATAGACTTTAATATGTCAGCACCTTCCTCTGGTATTAGTCAAATCCTATACAAAGAATCTGAAACACAATTTAGGTCCAGAATCCCACAACTAGCGAGATATAAAGTATTTATTCATTAAGCTTTGGAAGGGCGACATGTTTCTACAACAGGTCTACATACCTTTATGCCTGCTTCTACTATTTAAAATAATCAGTCAATAACGTCATCGGATATTCAAGATTGAAAATGCTCTACTTATTATCCAAAATGCAGATATCATAAAATATCATGTACTGATATCTCTATAAAAATTAATCAATACTGCTGTAACCAAAT